TTTACATCCATAGGCGCTGCAGCGGATAACCATTTTTTACTTAAAGTTTATGTGACCAAGCAGAGCAGCAGTCTTTCGTCCCATAGAAATCAATGTAAAGTATTTCCGCACTTTCGGAATTCGCGCAGCAGTCACGTGACACTAATGTTGGAACCGGTTGAAGGTTGCAATACGCTCTCTACCAGTATATTATCTCGTTGGTTATGACTCGTTTTGCTTCCCACATATTCCAGCCCTTCCTTTGTATTTTGTGATTTCCTGACCCTTTTTTGCCCTCTTTTTTTTCCCCCATATACTGATATCCCTCTTGGGATATCCAGCCACGCCTTATTCGTCCCAGGGCAAGACACGCCACGATATTCGCGGCATAATCAGGTTCGATCTTTTATACAATCTGAGGTATCTGTGCTAGTCTTGTTTCCTACGCGATTAAATTTTTGTCTGAAAGGTGAGCGGGAAGAGAAATCCTTATGCGGAAAATTTCGAATTATGCATGATCACGTTTGCTAAACATTCTGACAACGGTATGGAACAAATTCGAGAGAAGAGAAAGACGGGCGAAAAATTCGCAAACAAATCTTTCGTTTGGGCGATGACGTAACAAACCTGTTTGTTACGTCATCGCCCAGACGAAAGATTTGTTTGCGAATTTTATAAACAGTTTCGAAAATAAAACAACTCAGTTTTTAAAAACCAAAAACTCATTTCATTTAAATTATTTCTTTTGTCGTTACAATTGTAGAGTTTGATCTTCTTAGGTAATATAAACTAGACTAAAACTCTAAAAGACTATATGTGGATTTTCACTATGTCTTGTACGTATCGCACAGACTGGAAAAGGATGTAAAGAACCCTTTTATTAACTCAAATAAAGTTTAATAGACGGCACCAACTCGTGCTTACAGAAGCCAACAGTTATGGCTTAAATCAAAAAGAATGGATTAACTAAAATTAAGAAAGTAAGTTGGTCTAACGGCTTCACAGTTCGAACAACGCGCAAGCTATCGCTGACCTAAGGTCGGCGTAACAAGCCCAATGGCGAGAATGTTCAACGCCGCAGAATACTATTCGCAAAAGAATCAAATTGGCAACGTGGTCTTGAAGCAGGCAGAACACGCTGTGATTTTACCCTCTAAAACATTCTTTCCACATTATTTGAATATCACACAAGCTAGAAATTTACATTCTGGCAGGAAAATGGCAATTAGAGCGATAGGACAGTGAATTAAAACAAAGTAACTGGTTAAAGAACTTAATGATATTTTATATACTTAAGAAATAAACAAGTGCGATATTTAGAAATTCACAACTTGCGCTCGGTTAGCGGAAAAATACCTATGTTTTTTGCGAGATAGTGGATTCGTACGTAAGCTGATTCCCGTAATTCAACTTTAGAAAAAGTTCCAAAAATTATCGGCTTATATATGGAAATATACGGTATATCTCTATTTTATCAAAATTTATACTTGAAAGAAATTAATAGCTTCATTATCTCTAATATTAATTCGGTATATTAGTGGTATGAAATTGGCTCGAGGGCTACATGAGGCCCCCGAAGCAATGCTATGCCGCTCGCCAATACATTCCAATTATATATTTGTTATAATACAATGATTATAGATTTCGATAAAGCATAAATTTACTCGGGAGCGGATTGCAGTATAGAGTTTATTAAGAAAATAGAAAAGTACTAGCAAATATTTCAGCAGTCATTACATCCCAAATGAATTCGAAGCTAGCGCTGGCACACAGCCAAAAGTACGTATGTAAACGCATTTATAACAACGCTCTGGAAGACCAGCAAAAGGAGCTAAGAGGGAGGAAAAAAGACATTAATCGTCGCATTTCAGGAAATGAGAATTAAAACATAAGTATAAACAACATCAGAAACATATCGATTGTATTTATATGGGCGAGTGCTAATGAATGTATTGAAAAAGAATTGATAGATTTACGTTACCAGTGAAATGAAAAAAATATAAACTTTGTAAGCTTGCATGTAGGCCGCATTACTAGACTAAGGTGGAACGTCGGTACAGTTAATAAATTTATTCGTCAGGCCGAAGGTAGGTAAAACTTTTACATTCTGGTGTGCCCTTCTTCCTCGCCCTATCCTAATGTGTTAGTACTTTTAATTTGAGTCAGGCACTAATTGGTTGAAAAGTAACAAGTCTAATAAAAGGGCTCGATTAATTGATAAAAAATTTAACATAATTATAAAAGAAAAAAGAGATTGTCGGTATTTATTCTCAAGTTTTATTCCATTGGGGAAGTTTCCTGTGAAAAATCTGGTAAGTTTTCACAATTTCTTTATTTTAAATTTACGTTAAAAGTTATTTAGTGGTTAATTCAACATATTAGAATTATTTGAAGTCAGTCCAAGAATTTAATATTTAGCTGCTAGTACCTTTGAATTACGAAATGCAACCAACATAAATTTGTTACACATAGAAAATAAGCATGATAAACTCGAATATCTCTTTTGCATTATTATTACAATTTGCTTATGTACAGTAGTGGCCAAAATTGTGGACACTTTTGGAAATTTTTATGTTTTTGACCTTTGTATGCTTATAGAAAATGTTACGTTTTGCAAAATGCAAACTTGTATATACCATTTTAAAGAGAATTTATTACTCAATTCAATACAAAACACAAAATTAAATTATTTGCAATACAAAAAAGTTATATGTACGTTAATATAAATAAAAAACACAGTTATGAAGTGGTTTGTAATGTCTAGCTTTCCTGGCCAATCACTGTTCTTGTTCTGAGAACCAATCAAATGTTAGTAACTGCCAGTAGAAGCTGACATCATGTTTACATTTGAAACAATTCATTATTTTGCTTTGTTCTGTAGAAGGAGGACCTGTTTCTTATACACTGCAATTACAAGTAGGAATTTTTGTAAAAATTTTTAATATTTAGTCAAGAAGCAATGACATCAAATAAAAGAATAGATTGGACACTTAGAAAGAGATGTAATATTATTGTGTTACGAGAAAGTGGTCTTTCCTATGCTGAAATTGCGAGACAGATGGGTGGTTCAGTGACTACATCTAGAGTCCTAAAGTTTTGTTTACGATATCAGGAGACAAATTCAATAAACAACAAAGAAGGAAAAGGCCAAAAATGGTGCACCACATCTATTGATGACAGAAGAATAAAAAGGCTATGTCTCCAAGATAGAAAAATGTCATCAGCGGCCATCAGAAGCGATCTATTTTGTGTGTGAATGATGCTGGTGTTTCTGTCAGTTCAAGAACAATCAGGAGAAGATTAACATATGTTTGACTGAGAGGTAGAATTCCACGAAAAAAGCCTTATCTTAATTTTCAGCAACGAAAAAAAAAAAAAAAAAAAAAAAGACTACAGTGGGAAAAGGAACACATTAATTGGACAGATGATCAGCGGTCACAAGTTATATGGAGTAATGAAACTAAGGTATCGTTATTCGGTAGTGGTGGGCGAAAATATGTAAGACGTAGAATAGGAGAGGAGCTACATCCTGACTGCATTCAAGCAACTGTGAAGAACACAGTTAGCGTTATGATTTGGTCATGCATGTCAGCAGATGGTATTGGTCGCCTTCATGTCATCGATGGGACACTGAATGCCAGAAAATACATTGACACTATTCTAAAACCAAAACTTCTACCTTCCATCAGAGATCTCTTTCCCAACAATGCTTCATTTATTTTTCAGCAGGATTCTGCTCCTTGCCACACGGACAAAATATCGAAAGAGTGGTTTCATACAAAGAGCATTAAATTGTTGTCATGGCCAGGAAACAGTCCTGACCTCAATCCTATCGGCAATTTGTAGCACCGTTTGAAAACTCTTGTCCAAATGAGGCGCCCATCAAATAAAAGGGAACTAATTGAGGCTATAATTGTTTCCTGGCATCATGTAATAACGAAAGAAGAGCTTAAAACTCTTGTCAGCTCAATGAAACGTCGATGTGAAGCTGTAATCAAAGATAAAGGGTATCCTACTAAGTATCGCTATGTAATGTATATCGATAACTATTATCGTTTAAATTTTGTTGTATTGCAAATAATTGAATTTTGTGTTTTGTATTGAATTCAGTAATAAATTCTCTTTAAAATGATATATACAAGTTTGCATTTTGTGAAACGTAACGTTTTCTATAAGCATACAAAGGTCAAAAACATAAAAATTTCCAAAAGTGTCCACAATTTTGGCCACCACTGTATGTTTTGATAAATATTTAGTAAATGAAATTTGAGATTAAGTTAAATATTGGTTAGTTATTTAAAAATCAGATTGAAATTTTAAAAAAAAATTCTGACCCCCCTTCCCAGCTGTTTTCAGATCGTGCATGCGGCCCGTATGGAATTTGAGTTTTAGATCACTGCTGTATATTTTTTCCAATGTGTTACACTGGAAGTAAAAAAATACACTGCAGTATACTAATGCTGACAGCTTGGTTTTTGAAGTTTAAAAATACACTGCAGTATACTAATGCTGACAGCTTGGTTTTTGAAGTTTAATGGGAATATTTTTAAGTATGAGTTGATGAATTTGCATAAAAATAACGCTTTGGAGATATACCAAATTATTATAACTTATCTGAAAACACCACACTAGCATGTTTTCCGGTCTATTATAATTATTAACATTATTTTTAATAAACTGCTTATTCACTGCAATCGATCACAAAGCAATACAGCATTTTATACCAGCAAACATTAGCATAAAATGAAACTAACCTACTAATAAAATTAAAAGTGATGAGTACTGAAATGCTTTGAAATTTGAAAAAAATATATTTATTGTTATTATTTCAGAAGAGCAAATAAGAATTCATTAAGGAAAATTATTATTACACAAAGAAAAAAATACAAATTTAAAAAATAAACTTAGGACTAAGAAAGCCTCCCTTCCCCACAATTTTTTTTTAAGGATTCAAGATTAAGAAACCAAATTTTATACATAATCCATTTTATATAAGATTTCAATGTCCATATAAACATAAAATTTACTTAGAAATACCTTTTGCTGATGCCAGAAGATTCCATAGTTTTGACCAACTTGTCAATATCTTGAACAGAAAGTTGTTTAGCAGCAGGCTCGGACAGTAAGATTTCTAGCCTTTTACAAGCAAGTCTGTCACAAATATTGGCCACAAGAAGGTGATGAGACGTAAGAAAATTATCTACTAAGAGGTTCAACAGTTTCCCAGATTGTGTCAAATGTATATTTTGCAAGCACTGCAAAGCTCGTTTCCAAAAACTCGGCTGGTAATTGAAAAGAAAAAAGAATTATTTCTGGATCATAAGTCATGAATAAGATCAAAAAAAAAAAAAAAAAAAAAAAAAAAAAAAATGTTAATTAACTTTCTCAAACTTTAATCACTATCTTTCAGTTCTTCTATTGAGAGTACACATTCAATGTACATAAATACTATTTTGTGTGTGTGTGTGTGCTTTTAAACCTGCCTTGGACACACATTCATGGACTTTTCAAAAATATTTTAAGATTATATTTTGGTCAACGAAATGGTTAATCGTCAAAGATGTAGACTCTGTTATAATTAAACATGAAGCGTGATATTCAGTAATATTTACTTTCATTATTATACTCATTGTTGATCATTATTATATTCATTACATTGTAGAGACATTAGGATTTTTTGGACGCAGGCCAGATGAAAATATGCAACGCCTTCGCCGGGAATCGAACCGTGGACCTCTCAGTTACGCACTGAGCGCACAGACCACTACACCACGAAGGCTCGCTAAGACGGCGGGAGAAATACCTTATATACTCCCCCTTTTAAAGGACGACTGGGGTTTTTAGGAGATCCAATCGCCAAATCCTGGGTGAGGAGAATCATCATTCAACACCCTTTTAGTGCGGGCGCCACTATAGAGACATTAGGATTTTTTGGCAAGATTTAGGCAAGATGAAAACTATGCAACGACTTCGGGAATCGAATCGCGGACCTCTCAATTACGCGCTGAGCGTGCAGACCACTATACCACGAAAGCTCGCTAAGAAGGCCGAGAGAAATACCTTATAAGATTATATTGTTATTTCATTATTATAATCGATTCATTATTACTTTACTCTCAATAATATTTACTTTAAAATTTAGGTGCAATGATTCAGAAATAAAAAATTTACTTCATTACACTGCATAAACATTCTATCTTTAGCCATAAAATAATAATTTTTAAAATGTTAGTTTCTGATACAATAGCAGACTTTTATGTTTAACTCATTAACAGTTGTACAACATAAGATCCATTAACTATGCATATGGTAAATATGTATTGCATTTCAAAAATATTTCCGTAATATATTGTTGCGCGCGTACGGGTTCGTAACGAATTCAATGCACACAAAAACCGATGACAGCTTGACAAAAATTGTTTTACCAAAAGAAACACTTCAGAGTTCTGGAATTTTCCCCAAAAATACTCGTACAGCTCTTCTCAGTATCACACGGCACAATCAGCAGTTACATTTCAAACTACTAAGAACGTTAAACACAAGCAGTTAAACATAGCAGGAATTTTCTGTCTTAGATATAATGGTGGAAATTTTGTACTGCTTTACCTATGGGAAGATTTTTCTTTTCTGGTGACACAGAAAGTTTAGATTGACACTAACTTCAGTATGCCACGACACGTTCTTGACCTTTTATTTCTTGGGGCAAAACAGCAATGATATTCTTATTACTCGCATCCGTGTCAAGAATAAATTGTTTCTTTGTGCATTCTGCAATAACTCCGATATTAGGATCTCGGAAGACACACAGATTGGCGGACTATTGTATCGTTTAACGCAGGTAACTGGAGTAAATGGAGCAACCACTTCGTCTTTCATAATAACTTTTGCTTCATCCCTTACGTTGGCAACTCTCACCGGAATGACGGTCCGCGATAGGTCAAAAGGTGCTGAGCTATTAGTACTCCTTTGGGGCTATTACAGTTCTTTTGGTACTCCATTATGCCGTTGGAAAAATTTCTATTTTCAGCTATGGGTCCAGGAATTAAACATTCTGTTCTTGCTGGTACTGTGATATCATCTTGAGCTAGGATTTTCTTGTCGGATCTAACTCCTTTATCTTTAATTCCAAACAGCGTTATGTTCTCACGAGGCAGAATGCAGTTCGTTATTTTTAAAGCCCAAGGAAAAATTATTAAAAATTAAAAAGTCTAATCCCAGTATGCAAGGGTCGATAATATCTGCTACATAAGCCGTGTGACGGTAAGTAGCACTCTCAAATGTAATATTAACGTTTAACTTTCCATCTATTTCGATTTATCACCGAACACAATCTGGAGGATAACGCAGCAGGCCGGGGTCTAGATAAGTTTACCTTCCAGGTCTTGAACTATATCTTTCCGGATGATGGTAAAATTGGCTTCAGTACCGGTGGTCATATTGCAAGGAACTCCATTCATATGTCCCATGATGAAGTTCATTTCTACCACCAATCATTGTAAAAATCGTAAGTGCCTTAAAATTAGGCTTTTGAATATCTAGCATCCTCCATTCCGCGAAGATGGCCACTAATTTGTTTCCTGCTTCCGTGCCTTGGAATGTTCTGCAGTTCTTTCGTACATGGCCTTCACCACCGCAGTTCTGCCACTCTAGGTCGCTCATATTCTGTCTCAAGGCTAAATCATCTGGACGAGCAGTCACTTGATCTATTGGCTGCTGGATTTGAGCAGCTCTGATTTGGTGGCGGTCTTTATGAGTTGCTTGCTGGGCTACGTCGAAATTCATGGCGTACACTAGAGCGCTTTTTAAATGCTTGACATCATTCATTCGCAGGGCTTTCTGCATCTTGAGATCCTGGATGCCATCGATGAAGTACTGCAGAGACAAGATTTCCCCTGTTTCTGTTGGGCAGTCCGAAAAAGAGATATGAGACAGCTTTCCAACATCCATGGCGAGCTCCTGCAGAGGTTCCGCGGGCTTCTGTTAGCGAGATTTTAATTGAAGTCTGCTATAATTTTTTAAATGCTTCTTCACAAAAGCGCAGCTCCAACGCGCCGAACAGAACTTCGAAATCCAGCCTCTGGTTTTCGGGTACGGGTAGAGTTTGAAGGATATCTGCTGCGTCTGCTCTCAGAGAAGAGCCGAGATAACAGGCGTTTACTTGGGAATCTCATGCATTCGCTTCCGATATCATAGTAAATATTGTCTTATACACTTGCCAGGAGGTCTTTCCATCATATGCGGATAGTTTTAGAGAGGGTCGCCGGGAAGACATATGTTCGAATTTAAAGGGGTCATAATAGTGACCAGCTGTCTTTATGGATTTCTTTACACTGTTCACTTCCTTATCGACAGCAGCAGAAACTGTGTCACCGATTTGTTGTTCGACAGCAGAAACTCTTTCTTGAATTTCTCCAAATTTGTCTTTAATCGTGTCTGTTCTGCCTTCCAGAACCCCGAATTCGTCTTCTATTATGGCAGTAATTTCTCTTTTCATTTCCTCCTGATCTATTTCAATCTTTTCTTGATCAGCATTCATCTTTTCGTAGCCGACTATCATCTCTTTTTAACGGACTTTCATTAGGATTTCATCACTTATCTGAATACAGAAAAGGCTGCCACGACCTGTCATAGTTGCTATTCCATCGCTCTTGTCACCCATATTCAGCCCCACTTCTCACACCAAAAATTGTTGCGTGCGTACGGGTTGAAAGTGAATGGAAGGCACATAGAACCGATGGTAGCTTGATAAAATTTATTTAATCAAAAGAAACACTTTAGAACTCTGGAACGTTCCTCAAAAATACTCGTACCCCCTCAGTATCACGGAGCAAAATCAGTGATCACACTTCAGATTACTGAGAATCTTAAACACAACGCAGTGCAAAGCGCATCTAAAGAGTAAACTCACACGAAGATATCTCAGTACTCCCAAGTCCACTCTGAACTGAAAACACTGAGAACTGATGCTGTTTTAGCCCAGCCGCCGAGAAAACTTTAGTACCTTCCATTTCACAAAATTACTGGAAGGTCTATACGGTTACAATTACACATAGGAATCAATTACAGTACCAATTATAGTTATACAGGGACCGGACCAAAATGTCGCCAAATGGAAGCCAAGTTTGGTGACTTTTGGCGATTTCTCGCCAAATATGACAGCAAAAACTAGTCGTCAAAACCACTGCCAGTTTGGCGATACCTCGCCAATTTAGGGAGATAGCGATTTACTCAGAGTTATATAGACTAGCCCCTGTACTCTTATTTTTCTGAAAAAGCTTAACTTCTTCAGACTTTCCACGCTACATTATACAAAATTCGTAACAATATTACATATTTATATACTGTCCGTACGTTTGAAAATCAAAACTTCTGTCCAAAGATGAGAGCTCTGAGTACCGAATGAATATTTATGTATTATAAAATAAAATTATACATTTTCACTACTTTATAACACCTCTTCCTACAAAATCACCAATACGAGTTTATTTGGGGAAGCCTTCGCTTCAAGAATGAAAGCACTGATGGCTATCAAAACTGCTACACAAAGATGGAGATGCACCGCATGCGAATATTTCACTGCATTGCGACATCTGCAGAGAGGCCGCAAATAGTATCAATGATTCCAAAGTGAGGCTAACTATTTTGGCATGTGCAAATATTGCACGAATGCACAAATATAAACTTTTCATCATCAGAAAAAAATACAAGGCATAGGGTATTTAAAGGAATAAAAATCTTCCATGTTAATTGTTTAAATAAAAGATGCATGAAAAAAACATTAATGAATGATTGGTTTGAAAATCATTTCATACCTGAGGCTGAACACCATTTGAAATTGGATGATACAAAATCGTACCAAAATCGTAATTCACTTAAAAAATGTTAGTAAAAGAGAGTATCTCTGTCTTATTCTTTCCTTCAAATCATATAGCCACCATTCTGCCAATGGGTATCAGAGTGCACAGCACATTGAAATGCAGACATAAAGCAGTCTTTCAAGATCTATGCTAAACCATGCAAGAAATTTCTATAACCATTCAAGAATTCTCTATAACCATTCAAGAAATTTAAAACATTTTAACAAAAGTTCTGCTGTGCGGATTATTCCAAGCTCCTGGGAGGATATGTCTGCAGATACTTTAATCTTCTGCACTAATATGTCACCCCATCCTCGCACAATGTACCATTGCACTTATGTATCGCCATATAGCCATCGCAATATACTTTACCTTTGCGCTCATATGTCGTCATTTAGTTGCCATCATTCTTTTTATCATTACGC